GTTTTAGTGTTCTCCCAACTTTGCTTACGCAACAAACAGAAGCAACGTGCCGCCACCAAAGACACCGACCACCGTTACTTTTCATACATGAACTCAAACCTATCGCCTTCAACACATTTAATGAAACACGCGACCTAAAATGGACACTATTTAAGACGTGGTTTGTTGACCTCACTCGCCCTGCAGTCACCGCGTTAAGGCATGTTAGAGCTGGCGATTCAACCATCATCACTTGTCAGTTTGCCCGAGAGGGAAAATCCGGGTCAGTGCTAAGTTACTTCCGTTAGACTATTTATAGCTTTATGACGATACTCTGGAAATCGTGCATCGCAAAAGCTGCCCATCCGTAGAACCATTGCCACAACAACCTTCATTTCACATTCGGCGGGCTTTACCCTCACACTTATTATTTACCAACTGCCTATCTCAATACAGCAAATGGCTTAGAGCAAATAATGCGCACCAAACGTACCCCCAAGTGCTATAAAAATAAAAGCCATAACACGCACACCATGAATGGTTCCGACCACAAGTGGCATGCATTTGATTACGTCCTTTACATAACTTAGGACTAAAAGCTAACCAAGAGGTTCGCAAACAGAAGGCGCCCAGCAAAGGGCGTCATATTGAGTATCTTGGCCTGTCTACACAAAAAGAAAGTAATCGTGAGCAACTAGGGATATTCTTAGTAACACGGCTGAACTGCGGACACCCATATGGCACGGCATTAAGGCGGCTAGACACTTTTGACGATTGCAGGGCACACTATTATTTAGGACAGTAGGGCACTCAAGCGCTAGAGGAAAAAAGACGTGAACACTCCGAAATCGGTTTGGCAGACGTCTATTGAAGGAATTGAAAAAAACCGCGCAAAAGTTTACAACATCTACAGAATCCAGGGTATGAGTTAACAGAAGTAGTGCGGCTGTGGTGGCGACAGAAGATAGTGACAAAGTGATAGAAGTAACTGTTAAGAACCGCTTACAATAACTTTCGATAGCATATGGCATATGCTCGAAATAATTCTTCAGAAGGACCTAACTTACTACGACTCCAGCAAACAACAAATAACGATGGGAAGTGCCGCCCTCAGGAGCAGCTCCGAGACGGTTTGTGACAAAGCTAGAGAAGCATTTCCAAAATAACGCAACGTAGGCCATATTTTAGAAACACAATTTAACCACCAGCTGGACTTCTAGGGGAAGCACCTATGGAATGAGTGAAGGCAGATGACTTAATACCACACTAGAAGTAAAGGCTCCCGACCGCACACAGAAATACCGCGGAAACTTACATTAGCCCAAAATAAGGACAAAGTAATTGCACCTGGGCAAGATGGTGAATATTGGCGTTGCGGAACAACCTCTATCCACTGCGCCTGTCTACGAACCAGAAAACAAACGACTGGCTTGTCGGAAGTGTCAGAATTCCGTGTAAGTGACGGCCGTATAGTAGCGAGAGATTCAGTTTAACGGGGGAACAGGTGCCTTTCGTAAGCGAAGAATAAGGGGCGCTTCCGCTCGAGGTATTACAAACCGAAAACAAGAAATCAGGGAAGTGAGGGCTTTGAACAAAAACAATTAACAGGAAACTATAATCTAAAACAGTAGATTAATGACGCTTCTTTGGGAAAGACGAAACTGACGGAGTTATACAAGACGCGTGAAAGCTGAACAATGGATAGAACGAACTTTTAATTTGTATAATTAATCCAATCTTCATATAGAAACGCAGCGCGAGTCCATTTATTGATCAGGCTCGGATTCGGATGTCCACAGCTAAAATAAGGTTAGTCGAAAAAAAAATGACTCCTTACTGTGAGGTTGTCTCGCAGTAGCTGCATGATGAGCGTGCTATCCTTGTATGTTTCGTCCTGAATGTTGTCGACTTCAGCAATAGCCTTATCGAAAGCGTCTTTTGCCAAGGCGCAAGCCTTGTCAGGCTGGTTCTTTATCTCGTAATAGAAAACAGAGAAGTTAAGCGCCAAGCCAAGACGAATAGGATGAGTATTTCCAAGTTCCTTGTCAGCCAGTTCTGTCGCTGTTTCATAAGCGGCCTGAGACTCTGAGGTAGCCTTCTCGCGGAGCTCACCCTCCTGGACCTCGGCTAGATATCGGTGATAGTCACCCTTCATTTTATAGTAGAATATCTTAGCCTCGGTTGTGCTGGCATTAGGGATAAGATTTTTCGAAAGCAATCCCTAGAAAAAAATAGTAAACCTTTGTGGGACGACTTACCAGAACTTCCTCACAAATTTTTGACAATTCTTCCTCTACCTTTTTGCGGTATGCATTGGTTCGTTCTACTCGGCTGTCGGAGCCCTCCTGTTTCTGGCCTATGCTAGAAATAATTCTCCAGGAGGAACGGCGGGCGCCGACCACGTTTTTGTA